GTAGTTGTATGTAGGACGGTAATGTTAAATCATGTAAGGGTAGAAGTGTGTATGTGAGGGAGGTCTACAGCTGTCACCCTCATGTTTAGTCGGTGAAATGTAAGGATATGTTGCAAAATAATTTTGCATTTCATTTTATTATGTCAGATTCCTATCCAGATTTGATTTTACATTTGATCTTCAACTCATTTATATATATATATATATATATATATATATATATAATATATATATATATATATAAACTGCGTTTCAAATTATTAACGAGGTTACACTTTTCCATCCGATCGAAAAACTACTGGTTGGAATTTAACGAAATTATTAGAGAATCATGACCAGATGGATATACATCCTACTTTGTAAAAAAATTAAGGTTCTAGAAAAAAATTTTTAAGAGAAGTTACAGTCATGTACCTAATTTATTTAACTTATTGTGTCTGTCTATATTTCTGAGATGAGGTATTATGTACACTATTTACATTATTCGGACTATTGTCTTCATCTTTGTCGTCATATTTATTACAACGTTTCGGCCCTTCAGTATCTGTTTATATTTCTGAGATGAGGTATTATGTACATTATTTACATTATTCGGACTATTGTCCTCATCTTTGTTGCCATATTTGTTACAACGCTTCGGCCTTTCAGTATCTGTCTATATTTCTGAGATGAGGTATTATATACATTATTTACATTATTCGGACTATTGTCTTCATCTTTGTTGTCATATTTATTACAACGTTTCGGCCGTTGTACGCTCCGGCCTTCTTGATGTGGTTGGAATGTCGAACTGAACCCTTTATTTCGCTCACTGGGGTAGACTGTTCTAGTTCCACATGGCATCTTTAATGGATGTTAGTTATCAGTTATCTTCTGTTAATAAAAAAAAACGGTAAAAAAAGGAAATAACAAATTAATTGCTTCATTTACAGATTTCTATGCATGCATACAGTAACTAAGATTAAATTAAATCGAAATTAAAAAGTAAAAAGAGTTAAAAAAAATAAAATAAAAAAGAATAACAGATTTGGTTAATATAAGATATGTGATCTTTTTTTTAAAATGACTTAGAAAACGCGCTGGTCCATTGAACATATTAACTTCGGGATCTTCTCTGATGTAATTTCACGTGATATGTTGACTATTTCCTGCCATAAGTCACCCTTGCTTCTAAATTGGCGTCCATTCTCATAAACACGTCGTTTCAGACAGCTCCACAAATTTTCAATTGGGTTTAAGTTTGGAGAATTAACCTGCCTGTTCATTTTCCGAGGTCCACAGAAGCCTAATTTCTGCAGGTACTTCGTAGTTTTATGCGCTGAATGCAAATGAGCACTATCTTGCATAAACACGATGCTTCTTCTGAAGATGATTCTTTGCTTTTTTAGCCAAGATTCCAGGTGCTCTTTGAGGGAGCTTATATAAGCATCTGCGGTTATTTTCGTACCACCAGGCACTCCCCACGGACCAGCCATGATACCTCCAATAATACCAGCCCAAATCATAATACCTCCTCCTCTTCCTTATTGGCGTGTCAAGCGCTAATGACGATCCCATCTATTTACGACTCAACCTTTGCTCCAACCATCAAGTTTACGACCTTCATGTTCTTCTTTGCCCCATTTCAAACGCATTTGTATGTTTACTTATGTCAATCGAGGCTTTGTTACTGGTTTCACTGATGTTCCGACCTTTTTCAGAAGACGATAGAGAGTACTTCTGGAGACTGTTGCTTCTCCAGTGCTCCTGAAAAGTGCGCCACTGGTCAGGCCTGGGTTGTTTACAGCTTCACTCGTGACAAAGAACGTCGGGAAACAAACCTTCAGTGACCGTTATCGTACCTTCGTAGGAGCTTCAAATAAATCTTTTATTGGTATACCTTTCATTTATTTAGTATTTCCGATTATTTATCAATTTCAAAACTAATGCAAAGGTTAATGATTTAAATGGCGAGACATCCATCATCGCAAACAATTCAAATAATATACAAAAACCTCCAGATCCGTTATGAATGAATTGATCCTTGTTTATATAAATTTCTGCCGTATTAGTTCTTATTTTTTACCCAAGCTTTCGTCTGTTCCTACAGACATCTTCAGGTATATAATAGATATTGTTCTTGTTTTTTTCTTAGTAATAAAAGGACATCGAAAATATATTTCCTATTGTATCCGAAAAATGCTTTTTAAAATAGAGTTATGAGTTATATATATTCCTATTACATCAAAATTTTTAGAAAACTTTACTGGTATTTTTTGACAAAATATGTCTTGCTTATTTAATGTTTTATAATTTGAATGAAGATATATATATAATATATATATATATATATATATATAATAATGTGTGTGTATTTGTGAATATATAACATATATATTTTCTAAAATTTATATAAAAATATTCAATTTACAAATGTATCAAAATCCTTTTTTTTTCAATATAAAAAATGGAAATAAAAATTATGAATTATTTAAAATACATAAAAAAATAAAAATCGTTTATGAGTTTGATAGTTTTTCTGAGTTTTAAAATAATTATCATATATATATATAAATATATATATATATTAATGTTGTTAACCTTTATAATAAAACAAATCTTGATGAGAATCTTCAAATAATAATAGATGCATTTTTGAAACAACATTTATTAATATTAAGTCTATTCGAATAAAATCAATGTCGATAATAACATCTTATTTATTAAAAATGTATTTAATGGTAAGAATTTAAATAAAAAGGATTGATTTTTTTTAAAAATCTGATTTAAATATTTGAAATTACTATTTATTCATTTATATCAATAATAAAATTTTATTGTATTTATATATATATATATATATATATATATATATATATATATTATATATATATTATATAAAATTTCAAATATATATCTTCTTGCCTTTATCATATCACTCTTTGTTTCCAAAAGGCAATAGTAACGTCTTTTATGAAAATTATAAAATTTTAGAACAAAAAGAAAAGAAAGGATAATAATTATAAATATAAATCTCGAATATTTCTTTCTTTATAAGAATTTGAAGATGGAAGTTGGTTTTCAATTATTTAAATGGTTTTAACTCGCATTAAATTTTTTCTGTAATCAATCATTTTTATAGTATATAATGTTATATATATATATTTTCCTTTTATCCACTGTTCCATCTGTCAAAATAATTCAATATCCAGATATATCATATGCAAAAAGGACCTGATATCTGGCATCATGACAGTTTGAATCTCAAAGAATGTGATGTTCAAAATCTGTTTTTCTACAAATATTTTCATGGCATCTGCTCTTCTGCTATTTCACTAAATAAAGATGATGACATTAAGCCTGCTATATTCCATTAATCCTTGGAACCCCAAAAGTCTTTCGAAACATTTAAATAAATTTTTTCTAAATCAACACTAAACATTTCCAACCACTTCCCACCAGTGGAACTCCTTCCTTTATTTCTTTAATATGATAGCTATAATCTTGAAATATTCAAAATGTAATGTCAATCAATATCTTCTGATGCCTTGATCCTGATCCCAATATTTAACGTAAATTTTTTATCCAAAATCAAACAACCATCTTGTAATAAAATTAATGTAACCCCTAAAGAACACTAATCAAATTTATCAAGCATTGCATGGGACAAATGCTTAAAAAAATTTATTAATTAAGTAAATAATAATCTCTCAAAAAATAACTATTGTTGTATGGTCCAAATAACTTAATTAAAAATATATAATATTTAAAGAAATCTTTAAATGTTAAAACAAGATAAAGTATACCAAAGAATTGATTTTTAATCCGACATTTTTAACGTAAAGATTGCAATGATTGATTCGTTTTTTCATTATCAAAATATTGAATGAGGTAATTCATAACCAGAAAATACTTTTAGACCTGTCAAATTTATTTGTTTTAGATAATAATGACTAAAAATAAAAAATCTTTTCTGATTAACCCAATATGAGGGAGAAAAACGTTTCATATACAATTGTAACCCGATATTTTTTTTCCCTTTTAATATAAGAGAAACCCGGATTTAAGAGATCTTTGAAATGGTCCCAAATTAAGCCTGTGTTATTTTTATAAAATAGATCAAACCCGGATATTCTGTCAAAAACCGGATATAAGAACTTCTTCTCCGGTCCCGACAACTCTCTCTATATATATTAATTATAAAAATTGATTCAAAATTTAATAAACAAAAAATTAATTTTACTCATGGATATAAAAATAGGATCAATTCTATATTTCAATCAATATATAAAATGATCCCTCATATATTTTGATTCAATAGTTTCAATACATTTCTAATACATGTAGATAAATTTTAAGACATATATATGATATGAATAAAGTATTTCATTGATTGGTTAATTGATTTTATGAGATAGATATCAAGAGGATTTTCAGGAGGTTACTTAAAGCCAGAAAATAGTTTATAGAGTGTAAATAATATTTTTTTTAAGATAATAAGATTTATAAGATACATATTAGATAATTAATAATAGAAATGAGGAAAATGAAAGAAGGATTCATAATTTTCCAAATATTGTTTGAGCGAACTGGAATAGAAGGAACCCAATTTGAAATATATACTATATAGATACGATTAAAAATAATGAGACATTATCCATATATATATATCATATATTATGTAACTGATATTTATATATATGCCATCCATTTATATATTGATCAGATAATAATGTTGTTGAATTATATGATCGAATAGGAAGCGAGTTTATATATTTATAAATAGTATTCTCGCTTTATAGAATAAAAAGATATGTAATAGTTTGATAGATGTAAAAAATGTTGGATAAAAATTTCTATTCATTAAATTGCTTTTTTCGGTCTATGAAAGATAGATAGTTATATGTTTTAGATAAAAACAAAAAGAAACTTACTATTAACATAATCGAATATAGATATGAAAAAAATGTAGTATCGATAGATTGAAAAATATAATTTGTTTAGAAGGAAATTTCCAAAACAGTGAAAATGAATATAGATAGATAGATAGAATAGATAGATAGATATATAGATAACAATATTTAAAGATAGATAACATAGATAGATAGATAGATAGATAGATAGATAGATAGATATTTATAAATTCTAAATTTTAGCTAGATATATATATATATAGATATAATATATATATAGATAGATAGATAGATAGATAGATAGATATTAAAATGTGGAAGTGAGAATTGTTTAGGAAATAAAGTGATAGGATATTGTGGATATGAAGAAATGATAGATGAAAAGATATATAAGTAGATAGATAGATATAGATTTTAGATATTAATATTAAAGAAACATTATAATAATAAATTATGCATAAGATAGATATCTAGTTGGATTTTCGGATGATGGATCATAATGTATACATTGATATTTGGGGTCATTTATATAAAAATGATATGAAAGACTGAGATGATTAGATAGATAGAAAATGAATAGAATATAGCATATGAACGTTCAAGCATTTGAAACTGAGTTAAGGATGATGGCTGAAAGTCGATCGATGAAAATTTTGTAGAGTTTATAATAAATATAAGCATTGAACAAAGGATAATGGTAGATTTCAGTCAGAACGACCATCAATCACCGATAAAATATCTCTTTTTCATAAAGGGCCATTTTCTAATCTGTTCTATTTTTCCTAATTTTGTTTTTTTTATTTTTTTTATTTGATTTTGAAATTTTTTCCTTTTAAAAAAAATTTAAACTTCTAAAAACTTTCAACGCAAATGACATTCATCAAATATAATTGAAAGATAAAAACATAAAAAAGGCCAAAAAATGAAAAAAAAAAAAGAAAAACGCAAAATTTCAAAAAATGGGCAATAAAAAAAAAAAAAAAAACAAAAGAAAAAAAAAAAAAAATAAAAAAAAAGATAAAAATAAAATCCTCTTTTGAAATGACCGGGAGAAAAAAAAAAAAGATAAAAAAACCTAAAAAATATTGAAAAAAAAAAATAAAGTAAATAAAAAGTTCTAAATTTTAAAAAAAAAAAATATAACGTTGAAGTCGTATTTAAAATAGATGAAAAGATAAAAAAAAAAAAGGGATTAATAAAATCTGATCAAAAGATGAAAAAGATAAAAATCGAAATGATAAAAACCTATCTAATTTTATTGAAAAGCAAAAAAATATATAAAATTTCAAAGTTTTTTCAAAAAAGATTAAAGTATAAAAAGATAAAAGATAAAAAAATAAAAAAATGTAAAAATAAAAGAAAAAAAAGATAAAATCTAAAAAGTTCAAAAGATCGAAGATAAAAAAGATGAACGATAAAAAGATAAAAGATAAAAAAGATAAAAAGATGAAAAAGATAAAAAGATAAAAGGTAAAAAAGATAAAAAGATACATGATAAAAAAGATAAAAAGATAAAAAAGATAAAAAGATAAAAGGTAAAAAAGATAAAAAGACAAAGGAAAAAATAAAACGATAAATGGCAAAAAAGACAAATTGTAAAAATGATAAAAGATAAAAAGATAAAAATCTACTAAAAAGGATAAAAATGCAAAATTTTTCTTTTAAAATTTTATAATAATAATAAACGAATAACAAATAAATTTCTAAAGTTTAAAATTCAAAACTCAAGAAGTTTTTTGGAAAGAGAATAGAAAAGATAATTTTAGGATTGAACCAAAACCCATGACAAACAGGAAATAGAAAAAAATCTACCTCAATTCAAAAGACAGATGGCGACTGATATTGAAGTCTCTGAAAATTGTACACCCTTGTCCAAAATTAATTGAAACAAAACATATAATTCCGTTATTATTTACTTTTTGATGTATTTTTCTAATGAAACATGACACAGTGCACATGTTAGTACTTCCTATGTCCATTCCACGAAGTCATTCTTTGCAGACTGACCACAGATTGTCGATTTAAATCAGGAGAGGTTTATTTATAGTACTTTGACTTGATCACTGGTAAGGCTTGCCAGTGTGTTCGTACCGCGTTACAATTTTCGTACGCTTCCTTGGAGTAAAGTCCATCGCAGAAAATGGCAGTAAGAGAACTAATCGACAGTCGAGACAATAGTATCTTGGCGTGATAAAAATCTGATGCAATCACGGACGACGCAATATTTTTCAAAGCCAAACAAATTTCATCCATACATCCCGAAAATAGATTCACATTACTGCACACCACTACAAAAAACCTAAGCTGAGGAAAAATAGAAATCGATTACACCCTGTCACTCCAGTGGGTCTAAAAATGACCGTATGGTGAAAGAAAAGAAAACTAAAGCAGTTGTTTCAATTAATTGAATCGATTACATGTAAAATCCCCATTAAATAGATATATGTGGGATAATGAAGGAAAATGAAATATTAAATGAAAAGCAGGCGAAAGTATTACTTTCAGGAGATTGTATATCTTTGTGATTTAAACGGATCCCCCCCACCTCTCCATCCATATCAGAAGGCTGGATTTTGTATTTATAAACAAGAAGAGAATATGCGAGTTTTCGGGATTTTACTGTTCCCTCAGACAACGGAACGAGTTTGAGAGAAAGTGAAAAAAAAATCTCGGCCTTGCCAGGGAGATGACAGTCATTCCTGTCGACAAAAGAGTACTGGGAAAGAGCTACAAAGAAAAACGTGGCTGGATATGAAAGAACGAGTCTGAGAATATTACTGGAAACTGTTGGAATAGTGAACATTATTATCATCTTTGTAGTCTTTTCTTTTTTTCCTACTTTTTTTTCTTCTTCTTTTTTTTCTTCTTCTACTTCTTCTTCTTCTTTTGCTTCTTTTTCTTCTTTATCTTTTTCTCATTCTTCTTATTTTTCTAATTTTCTTCTCTTTCTTCTTACTTGTTAAGTTTCTCTTTTTTAACCTTCAATGTTTTGGAAGTGTTAAATTCTCTAAGCCTTTTTTCTTTATTATTTGTCCGAGAAATTTGAACCGAGTCTTTCTGATTATGTTTTTTGTTGCTGATTAATTTAGATGCTGCTGAATTCTTCTTCTTCTTCTTCTTCTTCTTCTTCTTCTTCTTCTTCTTTATCTTCTTAAAAACTTCAATTTTTTTCTTTTTGGCTTGTTCTTTCTTCTTTTTATTCTTATTCGTCTTCTTCTTCTTCTTTTTCTCCTCCTCCTCCTCCTCCTCCTTCTTCTTCTTCTTCGTTTTATCCTTAATCTTCTTTTTCTTCTTTCTCATCTTCTTCCTCTTAAACTACTTTTTCTCTTCTTTTTCTTTTTGTTCTTAATTTTCTTTTTATTCTTTTCCTCCTCCTCCTCCTCCTTCTCCTCCTCCTTCTTCTTCTTCTTATTATTATTATTATTATTATGCTTCATTATGCGTTTTGTGGGTGTTAAATTCTCTAAGCCCTCTTTCCTTATTATGTGTCCTAGTAATTAAAATTGAGTCTTTCTGAATGTATGTTATGTTGTTGTTGTTGTAGTTGTTATTATTATTATTATTATCTTTTTTTTTCTTAATTTTTTTCTTTTAGTTCTTAATCCTATTTTTCTTCTTCTTCTTCGCCGTCGCCATCTTCTTAATCTTCATCTTCTTAATCTTATTATTATTATTATTATTTATGACACACAATATGTGACATTCGCACAAGTCCCAATGGACAGTCGAGTTGCAGCTGTTTGATCTGATAATATTTTTTTGGTCAGTGACGTATGCTTCAGAGTAATAATTTCCCAAACCTTTCTATCTACCCCCCACCCCACTCAACTCTCAAGCCACATTCCCAGCTCCTCCTCCTACATCCCTATGAAGATACTTCTTTCTTGGTATTATGTATTCTTCAAATTCAAAACAACACTTGGCAAACCTGGACCTTCATGCCCAATTTTTGGTTAAAAAAGATTTTTTTTTCCATTAACATCGCTAATTTTTTAACTACCCTTTATTGACAGATAATGTATATTGTTTTTGAAAGCGAGGCTTACAATTATAATACAACTCAAGCATATGATGAAAATAAGTTAATACATTTTTTGTTCTTAACATTTTACAAGAATATGAAACCTTATTTATAAGACTGTTTATAAGAATAAATTTATATTTACAATATTCCTTGTCTTTGTTCATGAAGTCCATCCATGGTGAAGAATTAAAAAATTTAGACATTCAAATTTTTTAATGGAAAGATTTTCCAAATATGGATTATAATTTCATTTATAATATTTTCTATGAAAATTGTTACTCTAGATGTCTTCTAATTTGATTGAATTTTTTTTTTCCCTTAGACGTTCTCAAACCTTTCATCATTCCAAACAGTAAAAAGAAAAGTGGCAGTCATTTTTTTTTTTTTATCATAACAGCAAACCAAACATTCGTGGTTGGTTGCTTTCTAACTTGCCTGGGAAAAAACAGGGCTGAGGTGAAATCTGCTTCTCTCTGCAGCTTTTTGATTGTTATCACCTTTGGGATATAGATGAATTCCCCCATTTAAATTTTCAAAGTCCTAAATCCAAATTCTTAGAAGGAGTATTCTCTAAATTATATATTCATCTTATCTTACAAAAAATAAATGTCAAAAGGATGGATTTTTTTTGACACCAGGGTATTTTAACTTTTTAAAAAAGCAATGTTTATTTTTTAAAAGTGATGATTTTTGAAGTTTTTAAAAAATTAAACATATTCGCAAGTCATCGTGGCCGAATTTTTGAAATTTCTTAGCCTTTTTTCTTCAAACAAGGCCAAATGAAAGATAACACGCTTCTTTCCCAAAAACTGTAACTAAGGTCTGCTTCAGCATAGTTGCAGTATAAACCATATGTGGGCACTGTGGATTTTGAATAAACACAAAAAAAAACTGAAAAAGCGTCTGCAATAGGGATTGTCTAGCCGCCCAAGTAGACGGGTATCTCCAAATACGAGTGGCTATTATTATTATTATTATTACAAATGAGAACAGATACTTCACTTGGTATTTATTCGTCCCACCCACCAGTATGAACGATTATAAAGGAAACAGTTAATATTACTGCTACTGTTTGAAGTGCTGCTTCCTACCACACTCTTTTCCTAACGGCCCCTCTAGACACTCCCTTTCTATCCACCAACACCCAGAGATTTTCCCGCCTCTTCCTTCAGCTTTAAACAGACGTTGCATCTTTGATATACAGAGAATGACTTTTGCACAAGTCACAATGGGCAGGCAAGTTGTTTGATCGTAGCTGTCAGATCAAATTTCTTTTGGTCAATGACATATGCTTTAGACAAAAGCTCAGTTGTCAATAAAAGCAACAGTGATTCCCGGAAAGGACATTTGTTAGTGAATTTTTTTTATTTTTTTTTGTTGACTTTAAAAAAATGAATCATATTGTTTCTTTTTTAAGTTTGTTTGTATTCAATATCAAGTAAATTTTATTCGTGCCATCAAAAATGATGGGAATTGTTAGAAAGTTTTAATAGTGAAATACAACAAAACAAAATTATTGAAATAACAGGATTTTACTGTTAATTCACCCCAAATAATATAAAATAACTTATCATAACTGAATCAAAGTTTGTTTGTTATTTTATTAAATTTTTGGCGCGCTTTTGAATGATAAATTTTAAAACAAAATTTGTTTTCTTTACCTCACAACAACTCAGACCCTCAGAATGAAAAATTACCAAAAATCAGGGAATTACTCACATTTCTT